GTGGTGCTGTGGCTCAAGTGGTAGAGCGCTAGCCTTGAGCTGAAGAGCTGAGGGATAGCGCCCAGGCCCAGAGTTCAGGCCCCACGACCAGACCCAAAAAAACAAAACAAAACAAAAAAAAAAGAACTTCATGGACTTTCCTATCCAGGCTGGCTTTGAACTGCAATCCCCAGATCTCAGCCTGAGCAACCAAGATTACAGGCATGATCCACTAGTACCCAGTTCTCTATAAGTTTTAAGAAGTTTGGACTGCTATACATTGTGAGGCTCCATTTCCCCTTCACAGGGGAAATTTAAGCCTGAAGACCTCTAAGGATTCCTCTAATGCTGCAGTTCTGGAGTTTTATAACTCTGTGACCTCACCAGCCTCTGGGGGCGTGTGTCCTTTAACATTGCTTGACACTGACAGAAAGACATAGCTGATCCTGTTCTCGCCTATGATGTGTTTTATCTCATTTTAAAAACCAGTCAGTTCAAGCCAGGCACCCGTGGCTTACACCTATAATCCTTGCTACTCAAAAGGCTGAGATCTGAGGATCATGGTTCAAAGTCAGCCCAAGCCGGAAGGTCTGTGCGACTCTTATCTCCAACTGGCTCTTCATCTGTGACTCAAGTGGTAGAGCACCAGCCCTGAGTGGAAAAAGGGACAGGACTCAGGCCTGGAGTTCAAGCCCCAGGTTTGGCACAAAATAAGAATTGATCAGAGTTGTAGCGGGATCACATCACATTACACCTTCACTTTAGAATTTCCCATAGTGTATGTTAATTTCAGAATTTCAACCTAAGTGTGAGGTTGATCTTTTTCTTAAGGTCTGAAAAAAATCTCTTCTGATTTTTTGTTTTGTTTTGTGTTTTCCAGTACTGGGGGCTGACGCAGGACCTTGATGAGATCAGCAAGGGCTCCACAGTAGACTTCCCCCTAGCCATTGAATTGTTGTGACAGGGTCTCACACTGATCTTGAACTATCTTCCTGCCTTGGCCTGCTGTGTGCTGGGCTTACAGGAGCCTCTCATCATCCCTAGCAAATCTCCCATTTTAAAGACTTTATTTGTTAAGAAACCTTGTGGTACTTCTGTTTCTCATAATAAATGGATTGATTTGTTAGTATTAAAGAAAAACCAAATAATGGCACCACTGGGAATTCTGTTGGATTTTGTGTTAACCAATTTTACCTCTCGTGTCCAGAATATTCCAAACATTCTAGACACAAAGTAGTCTGATCCCAAGATTCTATTGAAAGCTTGAAGGAAACATCAGGTCAGGTGCTCTCTAAATCTAAATAGACCACCAGCCACAGTGATTTCGTTAATGTATTCAATAATATTTTAGGATAAATTCAAATGCATAAACGGTACCCTAGAAGACTGGTAAATGAGCAGTCATGATGACTATGAGCACCAGGCTCATAGTCACCTCCTGTAGGCCTAGCCCCTACACTATAGTTTGCTCTCTGATCATGGCCTCCATGCTGGTTCGTGGGCCACAGAGTCACATGTCTAGGTCCAACGTTCACAAAAGGATGCTGCTTTTCCTCTTGCCTTAAAACCATACCTTAAATTCTACAGCTTGAAAACTACATCACTGCAACAGGATCACCAACATTCCTCCCCCAAAGAATGAACTCCATCACCTGAAAAGCAGGGCAAAACCCATGCCTCGTCGGTTTAACTAACAGCGCTCTATGTGGTCATTAAATGGATTGCCTGGCTGAACCTGAATCACTCTACCACACAGGCAATAGTAGTTTACCCCATGTTCAGGGCAAACAGACTGAGGAACGGGCTGGAGTGGAAGTGGAAAGCCAGGATTTGAACACGCAGCCTCCCTCTAGCTCCTGCTCTCTAGTTTCTCGTCATTCTCTCCTGAATCACTGCTGTGGTTTACACCCACAATAAAAAAAAAAGTTAAAAATATAATTTACAAAAAAAAAAGGACTGGGTTGGGAAGGTGGCTCAGTGGTAGAGCGCTTGCCTTGCATGCCTGAGGCCCTGGGTTTGATTCCTCAGCACCACATAAGCAGAAAAAAAAAGCTGGAAGTGGTGCTGTGGCTCAAGTGGTAGAGTGCTAGCCTTGAGCTGAAGAGCTGAGGGACAGCGCCCAGGCCCAGAGTTCAGGCCCACGACTGGACCCCCCCCCCAAAAAAAAGAAGCTACTGCCTGAAAAGGACACACATTTGATGCTAAAGACAATTTTTAAGCCTATTAACATTTTTAAGCATATTAATATTGCTGAACACTAGTGTTTCATGTCTGCTATTTCAGCTATCCAGGAGACTGAGATCTGAAGATTATGGTTTGAAGTCAGCCCAGGTAGAAAAGTCTGTGAGCCTCATTCTGAATTAACTGCCAAAAAGACCATAAAGCTGGAGTGCCCAACTTAAGAAGAAAAAAAAAACCTGAGACATAGAGCCCAGGCTCTGAGTTAAAGCCCCAGTACTGGCACAATAAATAAGAAAATAAATAAAACTCCTAATATAAAAAGAACCTAAGAAGGCCAGGCACTGATGGCTCACTCCTGTAATCCTAGCTACTCACGATCTGAGGATCATGGTTCAAAGCCAGCCCAGGTAGGAAGGGCAGTGAGACTCTTATCTCCAATTAGCCACCAGAAAACTGGAAGTGGTGTTGTGGCTCATAGTGGTAGAGTATTAGCCTTGAGCAAAAGAGCTCAGGAATACTGCCCAGGCCCTGAGTTCAAGCCCCATGACCACCACTACCAACAATGAGCCTAAGAAAGTCTACCTTTTTCCCTCCAACCTGGCTGTCTAGCCCCGAGTCTAGTATCTAGTAGAGATGAAGTCTGTGGAAGACAAAGAGGAGAGATTTTTGCCTTTGCAACTTCTCATAATGAAGTGCAAAGCTACTTACATAAGACAGCACGCGCCTTCTGACAAAGACAGCTTTTTTCTCTCTTCCCGGGGTGTAGCATCCAATATGCAGTTCAGAGTCCCCAGAGCCTTAGGGGAAATGAGGAAGATACAAAACAGAGACAAATATACAACCTTCTCTGAGGTTTGGGGGGGGGGCATCAACTGAATCCCTGTGTGTTATTTTGAACTCACCTGCTGCTGAATCAAGTGATTCACGGTCTTTTCTGCCACCAAGAATCCTAAGCCACTTATGAAGAAATCCAACATCTGAGCTTTCCCTGGAAGCATAATAGTATCCATCAAAGGTATGCCCCAAAGAACAAGCGGATAACTTCTGCAGAGCAGGAAGAGGGGCGGGGGTGGGAGGGGGAGGGGGGAGATTTAGAATTGATCAGTTCTACACAAGGGACGTGGTAAAGCTTGGTCTGCTTCCAGCTTCAATTAAAATCATAGTCATTGAAAAAAAAGGCATCCACACACACAGTACATACTTAAACTTGTGGTCCTGAATTTCTTCAACTACCACCCAGTGCAGAATGTATAATCACTTACTCTTAAGAAAATAGAGACTATTGGAAAAATAAGTACCATAAGAAAGCACAGATCTGCATTAAGATGGCCCTCATTTCTGAAATATTCCAATATGTAAAGTACTTTGAATCCACAGCACCATAATTCACAATCTCAAATTACCTTTAACTTGAATTAAACAAAAAAAATGAAAACCTAACTCGAAAGTTTTCTAAAATGCTACCATAATGTATACTCTTGAGAGACAGAAAGTCATCTGAATCACTAATAGCTGTTAGTCAATTTTCTATTGCTCAAACAAAATACCTGAGGCTAAGTCCTTTTAGAAGGAGAAAGATTTATTTAGCTCCCAGCACTAGAGGCTCAAGAGCAGAGTGAAATCCTCTGCTGAGCTCCCTGAGGACTTCTGGTATGTGGAATCACAGGGGTAGGAGCATGTGTAAGGAAGAGAAGGCAAGAGATCAAGGTGAGACCACCCAACAGCCTTTGTAACCTAGTCCAGTCATACGAGACCCATATTAATATCCTCCCATGGTCTGTGCTACAGTGATTGAACCGCCTTGCACTGGGTCCCACTCCGTAAAGAAATACTGCCACAGGGGACACAACTTGCAATGCATTCATCCTTAGGGAACAAACCCACACCTGAGTCACAGGGTCAACTTTAGCTAGTTCAAAATGGCAAAACATTGTCTTCCCATTGAGTGGCTAATTAAAATATGTCTCACACAAACCCAAGCACTCCTTACTACAAATACATTTCAACATTACAACATGACTAACATCATGTAGTCAGCCAATCCAAACATGAGCCAGGCACTGGGTGACTCACACCTATAATCCTACTCAGAGACTGAGATCTGAGGATCACAGTTCAAAGCCAACCCCAGCAGGAAAGTCCATGAGACTCTTTTTCCAATGAACCACCAGAAAACCAGAAGTGGTGCTATGGCTCAAAGTGGAAGAGCTCTAGCCTTGAGTGAAAAAGCTTAGGGACAGTGCCCAGGCCCTGATTTCAGGCCCCATAACCAACAAAACAAAAAGAAAACCCAAACATGATCCTCAAACCCACTTTCCCTTAAGTATCATTTAATTATTCTAATCTCTGTACCAAATATTCTTTAAAAAACATAGTTATAACAATATTTAATATTAACAAAGAAACCTCATGCAAATCATTTGTCCCATGATGATGTGTAGAACTGATTATTAATTGGTTTCTCAAAGGCATAAATATATTTGTTTATTCATCTGGTCAAGTTATTTTTTTTAAAAAACCTGATTTTCAGTGAGGGGTGGTGGCTCAGCCTGCAATCCTTGCTACTTGGAAGATGGAGATCAGTGGATGTGGTTCAAAGTCAGCCCAAGAGAAAGTGTGTGCCATCTCCAACAATGGCTGGATGTGGTGGCATGCACCTGTCATCCAAGCAACACAGGAACAAACAAATAGGACAGAGTCCCAGCAGAAAAGTGAGACCCTATTTTAAAAAAATACACAGAGCTGGTAGACTAGCTCCCATAGGAGAGCTCCCACGAGCAAGTGTGAGGTCTTGAGGTCAAACACCAATATAGGAAGGAAGGAAAGAAGGAAGGAAGGAAGGAAGGAAGGAAGGGAGGGAGGGAGGGAGGGAGGGACGGACGGACGGACGGACGGACGGAGGGACAGAGGGACGGAGGACTGGTTTTCACACTGATGATGTGGTGAACTGGCCTCCACATCAGTGCGTGCGTTATCAGTTATGAAGCTGATGGCCAGAAAATAGACATTTGTCCATGGAAACACATCGAGGTGGTCTAGACCCCAATCTCTTCGTGGTGCTGTTTCTGTTTTTTAATGGAGAAAAATACTTGTATATGAGTTCTTCTTTTAAAAAAAAATCAAATGATAAAGAAAAGCCGCAATCTCCCTGGACCACCATGCCAACCCAAGCACCTTCCCTGGAGCCTCCACTCCATGTCTGATATCTCTAACAAGCTTTCAAGTCCGCTAAGCAAGTTGCCAAAGACTGTACCTTGAGTGGTACTGCTGTAATGAACATTAGTGCACACATTTATACAGTATTTATATGTTATATATAATTGTGAATATTATTGATGAGATGAGCAGTTGCTACCTCTGCCAGCTGCAAAGAACTTTCTGTGTCACAGCACATGTCCATTTTTAGTTCATAGATGCTTAGAAATGATCTTCTAAAATAGCTATGCTATTCCCCTGTCCCAGCAGTGCACAAAATGGGAGAGGACTTGTTCCCCAATATATATGGTGAGAATAACCTCTTGATTTTCCCTGATTACTAATGGGGGGGGTATCATTTTATAACTATACAAGCCATTTGAATCTCCCCTTTTATAAACTGCATGTAAAAAGAAAATCAAAAGCCAATTAGTACCAACTAATATACTTACCTTCATCACTACTACTCTGGCAAATAATCTAATAAAAAGAAAGAAAAAGTACAGCTTATATTATTTTAAAATAGTATTATGCATTATAACATTATTGCATGAGTGCTAGTATTTTCTAATAGTTGAACTTGACTTCAGGTACAGAAGAAAAGAATCTTAGAAAAAGCCTACTGAGGGGCTGGGAAGGTGGCTCAGTGGTAGAGCGCTTGCCTTGCATGCTTGAGGCCCTGGGTTCAATTCCTCAGCACCACATAAGCAAAAAGAAAAAAGCCAGAAGTGGCGCTGTGGCTCAAGTGGTAGAGCGCTAGCCTTGAGCTGAAGAGCTGAGGGACAGTGCCCAGGCCCAGAGTTCAGGCCCCACGACCAGACCCCCCCCCCAAAAAAGAAAAAGCCTACTGACTTTATTAAAACTAGGTGTGTAATATATTTACATTAATAAAATGAAAATAAAAAAAGAATTAGCAACTTCTGTTTTTTTTGTTTTGGTTTGGTTTTTTTGGTTTTGGTTTTGTTTGTTGGTGCTGATCCTAGGGCTTGAACTCAGGACCTGAGCGCTGTCCTTGAGTTTTTTGTTTTGTTTTGCTCAAGATTAGTGCTCTACCACTTGAACTGCAACTCTACTTCTGACTTTTTGGTGGTTAACAAGAGATAAGTCAAATGGACTTTCCTCTCTGGGCTGGTTTTGAACCGCAATCCTTAGATCTCAGCTTCTTGAATAGCTAGGATTACAGGTATGAACCGCCAGTGTCTAGCTGATTTTTCTGCTTTCTATACCATTGGTTATATTTATCTATATTGATCTAGATAGACATATACATATCATATAAATATGTAATCATTGGTTGTATATCTATATATACATATAGATATACATAGGCATATACAGGCATATGCATATTAATATGTATAGTTATATATGTTTATATAGGGTTTTATATACAATATATATAATGTCCATTAGTATCTCATATAATATTCTAATCATAAAACACAGGAACACTTTAACAAAATGCACATGTTATAAAAAGGCAGGTCTTACCAGTCACTCGAAGATGCCTATCCCCTTGGTCACCTGCCCCTGTGGCTGCCACTCCCTTACCAGAAGGCTGTCCAAGAAGTCCTCTAGGATGCTCATCAGTGACATGCTTGAAGCAAGGTCTTCCATGGTCAGAAATCCTGTGATTCTTTCAAGCCAGGAGGCCATGTATACAGAAGAGATACCAATGGAACCTCATGCCGCTGAGTTCTTCTACCAGCTCAACAATCTTCACGGAACACTTTTCTCACTAGAGTAAAGTCACCCCCAAAGACCCTTTCCCATAAATGCTATAACACTCTGGTTAGGTCTGTCTCTGAGGTTGCCCATGTAGAACATTTCAAAACTGAGACAGAATTATAGAAGTTCTAAAATAAATAAGTAAATAAATAAAACCATCACCAAAAAAAAGAATTATAGGAGTTCTCAGATATCAGTGAAAATGGGAGATATAGCTAGGAGCAACTCCAGAAAGCCACACTGAGGGGCAGGTGAGGAAACCTAAACCTCCCATCACAGGACCAAGTCTTGCAGGTCTGAGAAGCTGAGGTAAACAAAATATTATAAGAAAAGAATGAATGGGTACTGGTGGCTCACACCTGTAATCCTAGATACTCAAGAGGCTCAGATCTGAGCATTGTGGGTCAAAGCCAGCCCAAGCAGGAAAGTCTGTGAGACTCTTATTTCCAATTAACCACCAAAAACTGGGACTAGAGTGGTGGTTCAAGGGGTAGAGCGATTGCCTTGAATGTAAAGGTAAGGAGCATGTTCAGTTCCTGAGTTCAAGGCCCAAGACTGACACAAAAAAGAGGAACAAGTTGTACGGTGTTCCAGAAGTATCATGGTTGCAGTAAATATGCCTCCAGACTGGCTACATTTCTTTTCCCAAAATCTCCCAGCTGAGAGATTTTTTTCTATAGGAATATATATTTGTGTACACACTCATATTAAATTCATAAGATTGGTGTGATTCTAAAGAAATTTCTGTGACAACTCCTTAAAACATATTTGCCCAATAAAACCATGACTATCTTTGTATCAATTTTCCTGGGACTGGTTTTTAAAAAAAAGCCAGGTATAGTAGCTTAAATGTGTAATCCCAGCTACTCAGATGTCAAGATCAGTTCAAGGCCAACCTGAGCAAAAAGTTTGAGAGACTCCATCTCAACCAATAAAACTGAGTGTGGTGGCCTGTCATTCCAGCTATTCGGGAGACATAAATAGAAGGATCATGATACAGGTCAGCCTGGACATAAACATTAGACCCTGTCTGAAAAATAATCTAAAGCAAAAGGAAAAATTCTGAACTAGGCATGAAAGTACATGCCTATAATCCCAGCTATTTAGAAAAGTTGGCACAGCTCAAGGGGTAGAGCACTTGCCTAGCAAGCATAAGGTCTAGGTTCAATCCTCAGTACAAAGGAACGTCTGGAGGAAGGACACACAGAAGAAACAAAGACAGAGAGAGACACACACACACAAAGATCCTGCTTGCATAGAAATCATCAGCTGAACAAGAAGTTAGTAACACAAGCCTCTGGTAAGCAACTCTTGCTTGACCTTCAATGCATTGTGCATATTGAAGAGGGGGACCCAAGACCCCCTGCTGAGGGTGACAAAGTACCCAGTCCTCAATACTGACTGGGAAAACCTGAAAGGCCTCGTATCCATCTCAGTCCCAGAAGTTACAGCTCCTAGTGATCAGACCCTGGGCAGTGTTTGCTAAGACTCTCCAGGTGACTGTAAATTCACTCAAATCAAAGACAGGCCATTACTACATAAGGCTTGTCAGATGTGGTGAGTTTATTTCTGGTCAGACCTTCTTGCTCCCTAAGGGCTCTGCCCACACAAACACAGGAGACTCAGCGAGATTCATTTCCAATTGGACAGAGGCACCAAGAATGGATGCTAATTTTCAATTTTGATTTCAAAGAAACAGGAAGTCGTAAAGTGAATATACACTCATTTGGGGGAGGGGGGTTGTCTTATTTCTCACAATGCAGCGTAGGCCCTCCCCCATGCTACGCAGGTATTCTGTCACTGAATTACACCCCCCCTCAAAAAAAAACCTCTCACATTAGTTCTCTAAGCCACCCAGAACCACATAAAATTAAATGGTGGCACTTATCTTCAGGATCAGTCCCTGCTGAATCAGCAAACACTGGCCTTCACTGAGGTCATCTCTGAAGAATCTCTGAAGACACTTTAGCAACAGTGAAACATGAAGAAATTCATTTCTGTCCAGTTCCTAAGTATTAGAGTACACAAAATCAAACCCCTTACCAAATAGTTATGCGTTGGTATTTTGAGTACCCCCAAACAACATACTTGCCTTATTTAGTGATCTGTCGAGATGATTTAAGAGGAGATGATTATATTTTTGAGGAAATTGATCCTCTTTCTGAAGATAGTCTTTTATTTTCTGAAATCCTTTACCATGGAACGCATCGGTAATAAGGGACTGAAGCTGGAAAAGTGATCATGTTTGTGAATTACTTTTGCCCCAGAGCAATTATTTTCTAGGGCAATCTCTTAATATCATTACTGATGATAACTCAGTGTGAAATAAAATTGGAAAGTGCACCCCCAGAGAGCTGTGTCTTAAAGCCTCAACCATCACTTAACCAATGAGTCATGTTTCCATTGGATCAGGACAAGGGTTCTCAGACTGTGGCTCCTGGATCACTGGTAAAACTGACAACACCTAGGGAGACCCATTAGCGCTCCAAGACTCCCAGGGGAACCCGTAAGGGCATTCCAAAGGCTGGGAACATTTGAGAAACAACCAATTTAAGGAAATCTGCTCTTCAAATATAGATGACCATAGATAAAGATGAGCAGTAATATTGTACATTCTGACAGGAAAAAAAACCCAAGCCTCTATCTAGCCAGACTCTAGTGGTTCATACCCATAATCCTACCTAATCAAGAAGCTGAAATCTGAGGATCATCTTTCAAAACCAGTCCAGACAGGAAAGTCCATGAGACTTTTACCTCCAATTAAATGCCAAAAAAAAAAAGCCAGAAGTGGAACTGGAGCATTGAGGAAAAGTGTTCAGGTACAGCATCTGGGCTTTGAGCTCAAGCCCCACCCACCCCCCAAAAGAGGAATCCAGACCTCCAATTCCCTCATTTTGTTGCTTGCATATAAGTTCAGAAACACTGCTGGTCAGACTGTGTTTATTTGAATAACAGATGTTTCTTTCAATATATATACTATAAAAGATGTTATCACCAGGTACTGGTGACTCACGCCAGTAATCCTAGCTACTCAGGAGGCTGAGATTTGAGGATTGAGGTTCAAAGCCAGCCAGGGCAGAAAGGGCAGAAAGTCCATGAGACACTTATCTCCAATTAACCACCAGAAAGCTGAAAGTGGCGCTGTGGCTCAAGTGGAGAGCACTAGCCTTGAGCTGAAAAGCTCAGGGACAGCACCCAGGCCCAGAGTTCAAGCCCACAACCGACCAAAAAAAAAGAAAAGAAAAGAAAAGAAAAGCCGTTATCCTCTTTTTTAGAAAAATCCAGTGCAATGATGACAGACTACATTACAATATACAGTATCGTTCAATTAGGCATTTTACTGTACACAGTTCCATTTCTTCTTAGCATTGACTTAAACAAGGAAGCAGTATCTGAGGTCACACCACTTAAATGAGTATTTTCCTTTGAAAGTATCCACAGAATGAAGTGTTTTATGTTTAAGTGTCTGCTGAAAGTTCCCATTCAGTCCTTACCACCAAGCTGGGAAGTGACACCCTGTGTCTGGAGGTAGAAGCAAGGAGGAGGAAGGTCAGGAACTTCCAGAGACCACCCAGATAGAGTCACACTCAGATTCTCTAACTCGAAAGCCCATGATTGGGCTGGGAATGTGGCTTGGTGGTACAGTGCTTGCCTAGCATGCATGAAGCCCTGGGTTCGATTCCTCAGTACCACATAAACAAACAAAAAAAAAAGCCTCTGATTCTGCCTGCTGACACCTCTTCTGCGGGACTCAAAACAAGCCCAAACCCTTCTCTGCAGGGGGCTCTGTGTGATTTGATCTCCATCAACTTATTCAGTCTGACTTTCCTACCATGGGGCCTAGAATAAGTCAGTGTTCCCTGTGCAGGGCCTTTGCACTGGCAGTTTGGCTAGACAAGTGTTCCCCACCATTTTTCACATGGTGGTAGGGTGCTAGCCTTGAGCTGAAGAGCTCAGAACAGCACCAAGGTCCAGAGTTCAGGCCCCATGACCGACAAAAATTAAAAAACATAAATAAAAATTTAGACTCCAATATTGAAGGTCAATCTGGGTGTGCACAGTTATAAACTGAGGATGAACAAGAGGAAACAGCAAAGGCTTCTCTGCTTCTGGGGTGAGCCCTGGAGGAATGATGGTGTAGATGAGTCACCAAGACTGCAGAGCTAGCAAGAACATGTACAGAATAGAAGATGAACTCTTTCCTTCCTTACCCAGAAAGCATCTTGGGCCTTCCCAGTCCCCTCATCTTCCTCAACAGACAGCAAAGGACTTCTGTTTTCCTGTGTGCAATAAAAATGTGCCTTAAAAAGAAATCATTCCAAAGAAATGCATTTCAAGCTCTCAAAATAAAAATAAAGACTGGTATTGTTTCCCTCAGATAGTTTGCTCATGCCATTAAGGCAAAGACAGTGCTTTTCTTTTCTTTTTTTCCCTTTTTTGACAGTCTGGGGCTTGAACTCAGGGCCTGGGTACTGTCGCTGAGTTTCTTTTGCCCAAGACTAGCTGGCAATCTACCACTTGAGCCTTAGAGCCACTTCCTGCTTTTTCTGTGTATGTGATACTGAGGAATCAAGGGCTTCATGCATGTTAGGCAAGCACTCTACCACTAAGCCACCTTCCCAGCCTGGCAGTATGTTTCTTAATCATTAAAAAAATATCCAGCCTTTCTTTAGTATATATAGTCTATAATAAACAGAATGATATCTGTAATGACTACAAAATAGAAACAAGATTAATAAACTATTTCAGGATGAGAATTTTTTTAAAGTCTCTCCAGCCTAGCCACAACTTTAAAGTTATATTTGTCACAAAGTTGTTGACTCTACCATTTACCAGTTGACAGTATGTAAGAACTAGAGTAACATAGAAATGCTGAAATTTGGGGGAATAAACATCAACATCAACAAAAAAAAAAACCACTCACAAGGGACAGGTTACTCATTTTGGGGAATGGCCCTGAGCCGCACTGTACATTTACAAAACATAATGTCCCATTATTCTTCTCAGATCAATCCACCAATTTAATTAAAAAGTATAATACAGCCAGGTTCACACATGTCAATCCTAACTACTCAGGCGGCTGAGATCGGGATTGAGAGGAAAAAAATCTGAGAGGCTCTTATCTCCAATTAACCACACATACAAAAAAGCTGGAAGTGGAGCTGTGGCTCAAGTGGCAGAGCACTACTAACCTTGAGCAAAAAAGCTCAGGGGCAGTGCCCAGGCTCTAGGATGGGCATAAAACATATACAATACACACAATATATTTTGTAAATTTCTTCTAAAAGAAAAAAAAGTATTTTAACCTAAATCTGATTTCCATTAACTTGACCAAAATCTTTACATGTCAGTGTATTCTACAACACTATTAATATCATTATTTCTAAATATGAAAAACAAAGACTCAATCAAAGACTCAAGACTCCCCCCCCACACCGCCCCCAGCAGATTCCAGGATACTATTTAGATGGAAGGCGCCAAAACACAGTCTTGGAGATGGTCTTTTCTTGCAATTAACTGAAAGGAGGGAGGCTGAAGAATCATCTAGAACAACTGGAAACGAATTTATCTCTCTCTTTCTGAACGGGATTGCTCCAATATCCTTCCTTACTGAAGACTGATTGCCCAGGAACTCCAAGCAAACCTCAGACAGTAGGAATGCTCAGTGCACCCCGGACGAAAGCTGATCCCCGGCCCCCCCACCCCCCGCCGCGCACAAGCCCGGCCTGTGCCCGCCCGGGGGAACGGACACCTGGGGTGGGCCGGGCGCCGGGACTAGACGGAAAGGGGTCGGCGCGCCCCGGCGCGCGGGGCTCACTCACCCCCTGCATCTCCAGGCTCCCGCAGCGCCCCCGGCCCCGGGTCGCCTCGTTCAACGGTGATCCCCCTGAGCTGAGATCCGGAAGAGTAGGGAACGCGGAGGGTCGGGATCGCAGCTCGCTCTAGGAGCTGAATCTCCTCCAGGAACTGTAATGGGATGAACCTGCTCCTGAAATCCATTAGAAGGCGGCGTTTAGGGGCTGGGAGAACCGCGGGTGGCGCGCACAGGTCCGGCCACGTGGGCGCCGCTGCGGGCGCGCCGCACCTGCCCGCAAAGCCCGCGCCAAAGTCTCCATCAGTTTCTCTCCACCTGGAGCAGATCATGTTGATCGCAACTTCAATCTTTCCTGTAGCAACCAGATTTGCACCAACACTGATGAATATATTCCTGATAGCATAAGAGACGGGGTGTGGGTGCGGTGATGGTGTCTGGTGTGTTTTAAAGCACCTCTGGGGGATTAAAAAAAGCGAATTGGATTTCACCCCCATCCTATAATCTTAAGTGGTGCCAAGGACTAGGTAGTCAGCCGATAACCTGTTATCCCAACACCTGGCAAAAATAGATTGAGACTGGATTTTTCTTTTTAAAAACGACCCCTCACATTCAAACATCCTTTATGCAAAACTCGCCCTGTCACAGAGCTAGACGCTGTATTTCGTGTGGTCTTTACAAAAGGTATTGATCTACATCCAAACAAAACATATAAGAGGTCTAATGAGAATTCCAGCTACTTAAGCCCAGGATTTACACATGTGTAGGGTCCTTTGGAAACAGTTCCTATGTTAACACTGGACATATCCATTTTCCGGCAAATATGATTTAACTATCCAGTCATTCATTCGTCTGTTTTAATCTAAAACTAGCAGATTAAAGGCTTGTTCCTTTCCATTTGAATTAATAGGTGTTTACAGTATTAAACTAGTAATCCAGGCAGGGACCACATGAATATAATTTAAGTCAATGCAACGATTAGAGCAGAAAAAATACTAAGAACTGTCAAAAGAGGTTAAATTTATCTTGTTTTAGACAATAAAAACTTTAATGTTGTTAATCTTAGAAAAGTTCACAATTATTTTTACATTTGATAACAAAAATACATCCTTTCAAACGTTGTGGTAGTATGCATTCAAATCTTTGGGAGCTATTTAAAAACAATAGGATATACATTTGTTCGTTTATTTTATATTTACTTTTTCTTCTGTTGCCATGTTTTGCAGCACATAACTTTAGGGCAACTTAGAATAAATGTTGTAATTCTTCAAAAATACTAAATGTGGTGGAGTCTCTGTGATTTTATTTTTATTTTTTTTAGATACCAGAATCGACTCAGAAAATTATTTGCTTTTAATGTTAAAGGATATATGTGTTTCTAGTTTGGAAGGTTGAGACTTTCAGACCATTTCAAAAGCATAGAGATGTTTGCAGTAAGACGCCAAATTATTTTCTATGCATTTTTAAAGGCAATGTTAAACTACTGATGTTATCGTTAACCTTCCCACTCCCCCCACTTCCCCGTCTTTGTTGGGGCTTGAACTCAGGTCCTGTGCACCCTCCCTGAGCTTTATTTGGTCAAAGAAAGCACTTGAGCCACTGGCTCCACTTCTGGCTTTTTGGTGGTTAATTGGAAACAATATTCTCACAGTTTTTCATGCCTGGGTTGGCTTTGAACTGTGAACCTCAGATCTCAACCTCCTGAATAGATCGGATTACAGGTATGAACCATGGCACCTGGCTTGTTAAAACATTTGTAAATATACATTGTATCACAATTCAATAAAATATATACTTTTAATTATAGATAACTAACAGTTTTGAAACACACACACAAGCAACTGAATGGCAAGAGCTGAGAAAATGGAAGACAGAAAGACGCAAGTCTGTGGGTAAAAGCTGTGTGGATCGGGGAGAGGAAGCTTCCACCTAGCCCTCAGTGGTGAGAGAGCACGAGGAGTGAATTTCACCGGAACCCCGGGCCCACCCGACCTTCCAGAAGAGAAGTTCAGGGAGAGTGTCTGAACATCAACAAATCTTTTTATTCGCTAGGACTTTTCTCCCCTGCTAGGATTACGCGTTTGGAGAAGGACTCCAGTTTAAAGCCAGAGCAAGGGTGCGCAAAGCTTGCCCGCAGCCGGCATTGTCGCTGGACTGCTGCAGCCGCTGGGCTGCTCTGAAAAGTGACTTTCCTAAACCGAACAGTCTAGGAGCGTGAAGGATCCTTCTCGAGGTCCTGGGCTTAAAACGCGCCTGCTCTTCCTCCCTTTTGCAGTGATTGATTCCTCCAGCAGAAGCCGCTGGGCACGAGGCTGCGTGCAGCCCGCCCGCCTAGGGTGCACGCTGCACCTGGCCGGGGTCGAGGGCCGGCCTGGACTGATCACGGAGTCCAAAGCCCTCCTAAAGGATCAGCTCATCATCTCCCTTCTGGAAGAGAAGCGTGCCAGCTGCAAAACAGATGCTAGGGAAGTAAATGCCCGAAGTCAGTCTTTCTTCGCTGTCTCGATGGGACCCTGGGATTGCAAACAGCAATGTTAGAGACTTCAGTGGATTCATTGCCTCTAGGTTTCTGTTGTCCTAAGGCAGATGCGCAGGTAAAGAAAGCTTCCCACCCTTCCCGGGGAGCCCTACATCCCCTCCCCGAGCTTCCCCAGCCCTCAAACACCTCCCAAGATAGCATGAACTAAGTAGCATTTCCTCTGGCTGTTTCCTAGACAGTATCTTACTAACAGGTTCCTGGTGTGTGTGTGTGTGTGTGTGTGTGTGTGTGTGTGTGTGTGTGTGTGTGTGTGTGTGTGTGTGTGTGTGTGTTACTGAGACTTAACTCCAGACCTCTACTTCTTAAGCCACACCAGCAGCCCTTTGTGCTTTTTCTAACTTTCACTTTTTATGATGAAGGTGATGTACAGAAGAGTTACAGTTACACAAGTCAGGTAATAGGTACATTTCTTTTTGGACGATGTCACCCCTTCCTTTGCTTTCTCCCAGTTTTTCCCTCCCATCTCCACCCACAAGTTGTATAATTCATTTTCCACACAGTGTCCAATGAGTGCCACTGCTGCTTTTGTTCACCCTTTGTCCCTCCATTCTGTACTGCCCCTCTTACCCTCCTGAAGATAGATAAAAGATCAAACAAGACAAAAACAACAGTGAAGGAAAAAAACCTCTTTCTTTGTGCCTTTTTGTTTTGTTTTGTTTTTGAATAGGGTCTTGCGTTTCACCCTTCAGGCCTGGACTACCATCTTCCTCCTGTTTAGGTTCTCTAGTTAACTTTGATGACCTGCGTGGGCCATCATATCCAACTTTTCATTGGTTAAGATGGGATCCGGACACTTTTTGCAAATGCCGACCTGAAACCTGACCCGATAGTGCAGAACTCCCCCTCCCCAGTAGCCAGAATGACAGGCATGAGTTCTACAGTTGTGTTTGTTTATCGATGGATGTACCTGAGAGCTCACCGAGCCTGGATCCCTTGTGGAACAGATAAGAAACTGAGGTCCTGAGGACACGGGGTCGGCACCGCGAGCTGCAGCTACCGAATCAAAGCGGCAGAGCTCAGAGCTCACCGCTGCCCTGCTCCACCTAGCCAGGTGGTCGGCGGCCCGCGCCCCCTCGGACGGCTTCGGAAAGTCTGACTTAACGACCAGGACCCGCAGGACGGCCAAAGCCAGGCGAGGAGGCCCGAAGTGGGCTGCCCCAAAGGAGCTGCGGGCACGGTCATTTCGATTAAGGGCTCCGAGGTACGGTTCCCACGACTGCGGACTTGGCTGGGAAAATCTCCATTCATCTCCCAAAAGCCTGGATCTCGGCCCTTTCGTGTAAGCCTCTGCGATCAGGTGGGGTTTAGAGGAAATACTCCCAACTTGTCGTCCGCTCCCAACACCTGGGCTCCATTTCTCTCTGCTTGGGGCGGGAGGGGGGGCGGTATTTAATTGCTCCTGAACTTCATCCCAGGCCGGTCCGGGGCGGGAGTGGGGGACCCGCGGGCTCCGGGGGCGGGGCGCTGGGGGCGGGGTTTTATAAACCTGGAGCAGACGCCCCAACTGCTGCTGTCGGGAATCAGAGCAACACCGCGATCCTGGGCAGGACCCCGCCTCTCTCTCTCTCTCTCTCTCTCTCTCTCTCTCTCTCTCTCTCTCTCTCTCTCTCCCCCCCTCCCCCTCCTCCTCTTCTTCCTCCTCCTCCCTCTCCCTCTTATTACAAAGGGACAAAGTCATCTTGCTTTGTGCATCTTGTTTCGATTTTTCTCTTCTGTTTTTCAGGATCTGGACGGAGGTCGGAAGGAGATGCGGGCAGACGCGGGTCAGGACTCGGATAGTGGTTGTTCCTATGGGATGAAGCTCAGCTGGGACATCAACGACCCTCAGATGCCACAGGCGAGTACAGGGGACCTTGTCCACGGAGGCCGACTTCGGTTTAGAGATGAGTCTACTTCCAGCGATTCCCTTGTGTTCATGCTTTCTTTCACTCTCTCTCTCTTCTCAGCAAATGTATCAGTCCACCAGTTCTCAGGTGGCAAAGCTGTGAGCTAAGACTATAAATGCAGGCAACTTGAATCTCACACAGATTTCCAGATTTGAGCAATGTATTCGGAGCACTCCACAGCGTGCTCAGGCAGCCAGTCCTGCCCAAGGCTTACTTCTGTGATGACAAGGAACCGCCATCTTTCCAGGATGAATTGTTTCATCTTATTATTTGAGCCCAGAGTGGGATATGAGCTGGGGGGCTGTTTGATCACACTGGTTTGAATCACTACTGAAGAGTAAGCTGCGTGTGGTAGTGGGCCCCGGTAATCCGAGCTACTTACAGGCAGGAGGATCTTGAGTTCAAGATTAGTCGGGGCAAAATTTGTGAGATACCGTCTCAAAATACAATAGATAAAACAGGTGAGGGGCATGGCCCAAGAGAGAGAGGGATGGAGTAGGACAGGATTCTGGGTTCAGGGACAGGATTCAGGCAGCATGGGTGTGCATGCACACGCACGTGAACACACACACACACACACACACATGGTGACTTTAAAGTCTCCAATGGAGGATGGAGGGAAAATAGACATTGCTTCCCAAGCATTTGGTTGTTGTTGGTGGTGGTGGTTGTGGGGCTTGAACTCAGGGCCTGGGCTCTGTCCCTGAATTCTCTTTGGGGGGTCCAGTCGTGGGGCCTGAACTCTGGGCTTGGGCTCTGTCCCTCAGCTCTTTAGCTCAAGGCTAGCACTCTACCACTTGAGCCACAGCGCCACTTCTGGCTTTTTTTCTTTTTGCTTATGTGGTGCCAAGGAATCGAACCCAGGGCCTCATACATGCAAGGCAAGCGCTCTACCACTGAGCCACCTTCCCAGCCCCCCTGAATTCTCTTTGTACTCAAGGTTAGAGCTCTACCACTTGAGCTACAGTGCCACTTCTGGTTTTTGAGTGGTTCATTGGAGATAAAGAGTCTCACCGGCACTTTTCTGTCTGGGCTGGCTTTGAACCCTGATTCTCAGATCTCAGCCTCCTGAGTATCTAGGATTATAGGCATGCGAGCCACAGGCACCTGGCTTGCCCAAACATTTTAAAGATGAACTTGCAGCAAAGGCTCTAGTCTCTGCCAGGTGCCAGCTGAGTGTTTCAGTGAATAGAATTCAACGCAAGGTGAGTTACCTCTCACCAAGGTCACTACTTTTTTGAATGTGCATATGTGTAGTATGTTGTTTTACTTGTTTGAATTGCTCAAATCTGCTTACTTTGGAGTCACACTGTAGTACTTTCATGAAACTGGACCACAGGTGAGGGTATGTGTGCTTCACTGTTGCTGACTTTGTGTGCATGGACTTCTTCATAGGAAACAAGCACATCTTGTGTTTTAGAAAGGAACTGCATCCAAATCATGCATTAATGGCCGGTCCCTCAGTCAACTTCTAGACTTCCCAGTAAATAGGAAATCTCATTCCTTTGGGAGACTCCTTCTGTATCAGGGATGTGTGTTGCTTCTCAGAAGGGAAGGCACACTGGGGTAACTGAGAGAAAGAGAGCCATACTGGCTAGCTGACCTTCAGAGAGTCCTTGAAATTTGCCTTTTTCTTAGGCTATTGAGCTGTCATCAAGTAGTAGTAGTAGACACAGATAACAATCTCAAACTCTTGTCTAGATCTACTGGTGTGTGTGTGTGTGTGTGTGTGTGTGTGTGTGTGTGTGTGTGTGTGTTGCTATAATATCAGAGAAAATAGAACTCAATTTTGGGGCTAGGAATGTGGCTTAGTAGTAAAGTGCTTGCCTAGCATGCATGAAGTCCTGGGTTTAATTCCTCAGTACCACATACACAGAAAAAAACAGAAGTGGTGCTGTGGTTCAAGTGGTAGAAATACAGGCCTTGAGCAAAGAAGCTCAGGGACAGTGCTCAGGCCCTGAATTCAAGCCCCAGGACTGGAAGAAAAAAAAAGAGCTCAGTTTTGGAGCTGAGTATAGTGTCATATGCCTGTAGGCTCAACTCTTATAGGCGGAGGCAGGATCTCTCAAGTTTGAGTCCAGCCTGGGCTATGTAAGAAGTCTGTTTCAAAACAAAAAACAACCTGGGGCTGAGCACAAGTGGGTCATGCCTACATTCCTAGCTACTCAAGAGGCTGAGAGCTGAGAATCATGGTTCAAAACCATCCCACACAAGAAAGTCTGTGAGAGTCATCTCTACAATTAACCAGCAAAAAGACAGAAGTGAAGGTGTGGTTCAAATAATAAATAACAGCATATTAACGCTAAAGCAATGCTCAGTATTTTACATATGACTTTTTATAAGCTCTTTGTTGAGGAGAATGACAATTCCATATCACTGGGGCTAGGGATCAATAGTCCTGTGCCAGGCTGGATCATCAATGTGTGAAGCTGAAGACTTACTATGGTGGCTGTGTCATCAGTGCTGTTTTAAACTTTAAAAGCTGAGAGATGGCTCTCTGATAGCCTGTGGGTATCCTTGGTGAAGTGATTGGCAGGTTTTGGGGGAGAGCTAAGTGCTTCTACAGATATTTACCAATTTAATTGCATTCCAGTGGAAAAGCAGCCAATCACTTTTGTGTGTGTGTATGCTAGTCCTGGGCCATGCTCCTAACATGGCTAAAAACTGTCCCTTAGCTTTTCCATTCAATGATGATGCATTCCCACTTGATCCATACCTCCACATCTGGATTTTATTGCTGGTTAATTGGAGATAAGCGTCTCACGGACATTCCTGCCTGGGTTGGCTTCAAAAGGCCATCCTCAGATCTCAGCCTTCTAAGGAGCTAGGATTACAGGTGGGACCCATGAGTGCCCAGTTACTCCAATCACTTTTCGCTATTATGACATTCAACTTGAAAATGTTTTCAACATTTAAACACACAAAGACATGGAGGGGGAAAAAAACACAATGAGAATTTGCCCAGGCTCTGGAATCCAACTTCCAGAACAGATCCTACAGCCAGAGCTTAGCTGTGTGTACTTGGACAAGTCTATTAACCTCTCTGGTTTTCATTTCCTATTCTGCAAAGTTGGCATCATAATATTTGTGCCAATTACCTACACCTGGTATGAAGGCTAGCCAAACTAGTTCCATGTACAAGCATTTACCAACATTAATGAATGGGTTATCAGTATGGCATGCATGGCAGAAGTGTAATTGCCTAACTTGGAGTTATTCAACATTTGTCACTTTCTAAGAAACTGGTTTGTATTCTTATATACTTAGAGAACGTGAAAAGCCTGGCCTGTGTGCTTTGGGTTCTATAAAATGAAAGTATCTTGTTTTCCCAGGAGCCCACCCACTTCGACCACTTCTGTGAGTGGCCCAATGGCTACGTGCGCTTCATCTACAGCAGCGAGGAGAAGAAGGCGCAGCGCCACCTGAGCGGCTGGGCCATGAGAAACACCAACAACCACAATGGCCACATCCTCAAGAAGTCCTGCCTGGGAGTGGTGGTATGCGCACGCGCCTGCGCCCTACCCGATGGCTCCCGCCTGCAGCTGCGTCCTGCCATCTGTGACAAGGCCAGGCTCAAACAGCAAAGTGAGCGCCAGGCTGGGTGGCACAGAGGCAAGGGGGAATCCCCTTTGGTCCTGCAGAGCCTTTGAACCAGGTTGCTGTTGGTCACCATACGTCTCCCTCTGGGTTTTGCAGAGAAAACGTGCCCCAACTGTCATGCCTCTTTGGAGCTGGTTCCTTGCCGAGGGCACAGCGGGTACCCTGTAACCAATTTCTGGAGGCTGGATGGCAACGCGATATTTTTTCAGGTAGCTGGGGGAGAACGCAAGCCGCGATGGGTGCTTTGGTCCTATGGGGACATCTCCTGTATTAACTCAGCTAAACCAATTATAGCTCCAGTGGTCAGAAATAGGGGGATTGCGCCTGTAATCCTAACGGCTCAGGAGATGGAGGTTCAAAGCCAGCCCGGGCAGATTCCGTTGCCAATTAAACAGCAAAATGCTGGGTCTGAGGTGTGGCTCAAGTTGTAGGTGAGCAAGAGAGCTAAGTGGACTGGCAAAGATAGATAGATAGATAGATAGATAGATAGATAGATAGATAGATAGATAGATAGATAGATAGATAGAT